AGCCGGGCCGATTCGTGCGAAGATGTGAAAGCGGGCTCTACCACTGTTAAAGTATCAACGTCTTAAAAATATCCATATCTTTTATCTTATAAAAATATCAACGTTTATGTCCCCTCATTAATCAATCTAACATTTGACTTGGCAATGAAAGCGCGTCATTCGCGCCAAAGACTTCTAATTATGTCTAAAAGTTTATGTTAGGTTATAGTCTAAATTTTAATATCTATGTTTATATATATATTTCATTTACGACTTACTTAGGCTATACTTATGAATCACGATGAATGTATAACGTACCTTTGATCCTTCAATGATTGCGTCGCCTTACAATAGATCAAATTTAGGCTCTAAAGAAAAAGATGCACACTCAAAATCTCATGACGGCATGTTTAACTGGGAGATACTTGAAATGTCGGAAGCCTCGAATCACATCGTTAGCAGATCGCGTCTGACTTTATTGCAAACCCGAAGAGTATTGGGTGAGTTGAGTACTCTTCACACCTCCCTTACGCTAGTTATCATATATTTGATGTGCCTTTTTGTACTACGGTTCTTTGTGTGTTCACTTCGAACTTCAAATATGGGTTATGTTATTATGACATTTTACTTATTATATTTTTTATTTATTTTATCGAATATCAAACGTAGTTATTAAAAACAAACATAGTTTAAAATAGAAATTAAATAAAACGAATTTATAAAATTTTATTTAATAATTATAATACTCCTGTTAGTTTTATATACGTCTTTATGAAGTCTTTACTAACTTTTTTTATCTCTTCTTTAGGGTTACACTCTCAAACTATGTGACTATATAGGACGCGGCAATTTCCTAAAGAGCTATTGAGTGTCCGCTTTGATTTTCGCTCTTGCCGAACTGAAGTATCTTGCAGGACATGCTTTTTCAATTTGTCAAACGAGCCACCATGTTACGATATGTTACTTTGCTAAAACTTTATGGACGATACAATTTCTAATGATGGACAAAAGTTGAAAAAAATACACGTCTGAATATACTTTACCAAGTAACTCGCAATTATGTTTAAGAGAGCTCGTATTCTATTGTTTTATTTTACATACTAACTGTGCCCGCGACTTCATTCCCGTGAAATACTGGCTTTGTTTGTCTTATTTTTATAAAATAAAAGATTTTTTTTAAAAAACGTAGGCTAAGTTACTCTTTATTACAACAGCTACCTGCAAATAAAAGTCCCGTCTAAATCGATCCATTTCAGAGTTTAACTGGAACAAACAAACAGACGGACAAAAATATTAAAAAATGTTATTTTGATGTATATGCCCTTAGATATATTCATATACATGTAGTAAAAAACCGTTTATTTTAATATTACAAACAGACACTCCAATTTTATTTATATGTATAGATACAACTATATTTATCTTACCAACTGAATTATTATTCATCTAAGCTAAGGCCCTTGTTATTAAAATAATTATGGCATAAGATTTCTATTAACCTTGAAGTAACAATAATTATATCAACAAACATATGCAGCATTAATATACAAGTTCAAAATTAGACTTATGAAAAATATTGGATCCGACCGTGGTGGATAAATTGCTAATCTTTTGCTGCAGGCACTTCTTAGCATGTAGTCGCTTCCATAAAAAAGCGAATGAAAAAACAAGTTTTTGAAATAAAAAATTTAAATAGATGTTTTAGCTAAAAAATCTTAAAGGGCATGTACATATTAATTCCGTAAACAAAGCACGGCGTCGGTAGACAAGAATGAAATAAACAAAGACGTGCAACGTAAGCGAGTCTCATAATTCCTCGTATAAACCTTTCTTCTCGAATTAAAGCATTTCCTTTATGCCGAAGACTCGAGGCAGACGTCAAATGCATTGTTTTGTAGCCCTCACAATGAGTAACGCGAAATGGTTCCCATCACACCGTGAAAACACCCTCGCAACGAAAAGATCATTAAGACTTTATAAACAACAAACATCGTATTATCAAAGTCGATTTTATGTGGCTGTTGTCCACGATTCCGTCCGCATGGAAATTAAAAAATAACCTTATCAGTAGCCTATGTGTTCTACCAAACTATATCTAAACTAAATTTCGGCGAGATCCATGCTGCCGTTCTGCAGTTACCTTCTAACATCTATCCATTCATACATCCAAACATTCGGATTAATTATATTAGTAGGATTTGTACAAAAAAGAAAAAATCAAACCAACACAACTTTTTTATAATGCTAGGAAGAAAATCTGAAAATAAGCCAGTGTATGACGCAACACTAGCCTTACTAAAATGTCGAAGTTTATGTCCCCCACAAGTCATTCTGACACTGGACTTTGTAACGAAAGCACGTCATTCGCGCCAAAGAATTCTAATCAATAATGTCTAAAAATTACAAATTAATCTTACATTAAAATCATCATCATCATCATCAGCTCACTTTACGTCCCCACCGAGGGGCTCGGAGCCTCCCCTAAGTTAAGGGTGATTAGGCCATAGTCAACCACGCTGGCCAAGTGCGGGTTGGTTGACTTCACACATATCTTTGAATTTCTTCTCAGATATATGCAGGTTGCATCACGATGTTTTCCTTCACCGTAAGAACGTCGGATAAATGTACATATGTAAATCGGAAATCGAAAAACACATTGGTACATGGCGGGATTCGAACCCAGGACCTGCAGATTGCAAGTCAAGTGCTTGACCACTGAGCCACCGACGCTACATTAAAATAAATAAAAATAATTCAAGGAAACTAACTATTAGTATAAAAAAAAAACAAAAGAATGACTCCAAGTTATGAATTATACGAGTTCTAATTTACTTAACTTAGATTTTATATAGCTTTAGTATAATTTATTAAAACCGATCGTATCTAGAGGTTCGATAGACTTTTGTTTTTTATATATTTAAGTAATAATTAGCCTTGAATTAAAATTTTGTGAATGCTGATAATGATCAAAGAAATTAACAAGATTTAAAGATTTTCCTTAATTATGAATATTTATTAGAAGTGTCAGTAGCCTAATGGTTAAGGGTACGGATTTCCCACCACGAGGTCGGTGGTTCGAATCCCGCCATTCGACTATTGTCGTAAACCATATCCTTGCACAAGCCTAGAGCTTAATTGGAATGGTTAAAGAAATATTAGTAAATTTGCAAAAAAATCAGCTAATATTTTAGATAAAAAAAAATCGGAATATTAATTTGCAACACATTTATTACGTGAATATTTCTCTTCTAGTTTTAATAAAATATTTAACCCTTTTGCTTTATTTAAATAACACAATGAATGTAACTTGAACTCTTTTTAAACTTGTGTCAATATAATTAACATTTCAATATTTTCTTTATAAATATATATTAAGTTAGAATATCAAATCTGAATAATATTACAATTTGAAAACGCTGAAAAGTTGACTAAGTCAAATCCAGTATTTGCATTTCACAGCTAGCGAACTCTTCAAGTGCCCTGTAATGATATTTTTCACGTATGTCCCTTCAATTTTATAAAGTTTCAGAGCAGTTTACTTTTAAAACATAATCAAATGACTTTGAATTTCATTTTTTAAAAGTTAATATTTCATTCCCACGGTTAAATAACATTAAACCTGCAAATGAACTGTGATACAATCTTTAGGTACTTTTTCAGGTATTACCTATAACCAGCTGTTCCTGACCTATATGTTCTATTATGCTCTACATCTTTGCCAAATTTCAGTGCGATCCATGCAGCTGTTCTGGAGATACCTTCTAACAAACATCTATTCACCCATCCAAACATTCGCATTTATAATATTTGTAATGTAACAAAGTAAATATTGAAGCCAACATTCAGCTGTTCACTAAATAATGATTCCGATAATACCTGTGATGACGATATGACGATGACGACGATAATACCTGTGTAGCCGTGACATAGGTAACTCAATTGTGCCTTAGTGAAAAGTTTCTCGTTAAATTAGTATATTTTAAAAACCATTGTTATATGTACTTATATATACTGTTCACTGGAGTCTATAAAATTAACGACGGCTTAAAGTTTTCCAACGCTGACCAACGGGAGGTATGTCTGGAACGTCGGTTCGGTAAAAAGTTAATAATGCCTGACGCCCGCGCCCCCTACGCCGCAATTATAAAATTTATACATCCCCTACACTTCCCTTGTTTGTTTTCTGTTTAATTAACAAAACGATGTTAAGACTTTATTCATTTACTAGCTGCCGCCCACGACTCCGTCCTCACGGAATAAAAAAAGCTCAATAAGTAGCCTATGTGTTCTTCCAGACTATGTCCTATATGTATGACAAATTACAGCGAGATCCATTGAATCGTTCCATCCATCCATCCAAATATTTGCATTTATAACATTAGTAAGATTTCAACCGACATTGCTTTGTTCACAGTCTTTTTATGACTCCAAATAGGCATATATTTGTTAAACTTTATTTTAGTATGAGGAAAATAGCAGAATATCTCTTATGCCTTAAAATATCATACATGTTTAAGACTAAAAATGATGTCTGGTTAAATAAACTCAGGCCAAAGATTCTGATCTTTTAAAAATGTATTACTCCGGCTGCATTAACTTGAATGTACGTCTTTGAACACATTAGGACTCGCACACGTTGACAACCAGTTGAACAGGTTTCTATGGAAATCCAATTCAGTTTTAATGTGCAATATTAACATCTTATATCCTGTTTTCATCGATGATTTAAATTAACAAATTTTGTTTGTTGATGTTATAATTAACTAGCTGTAAACCGCGACTGCGTCTGTGCAGAATTAAAAAAAAATAGTGGCCTATGTGTTCTTCCATACTATGCTCTACATTTGTGTCAAATTTCACCGAGATCCATGCAATTGTACTGGAGATTCTAGAGCCGTTCTAACAAATATCGATACATCCAAATATTCGCATTTATAATATTAGTAACATAGTAAGATTTCGTAGCAGTTATTGAATATTAAACATTTAAAATACAGAGGATCAGAAAGAAAATAAACTTATATGTTAGAATACTTTTATTTCTTTTTGTCTTTTTCAACTTCCGTGATCGATATACCCAGGACATAACATGATAGTTGTTCATCGTTTTCGTTCAATACAGATAGTATCACTTCATATTCCCCGCAGAATTCAACACATAGGAAATCTTTAGCAAATTCTAACGATATAAGCAAATCTTGTATGGGATAAGTTTTCTGAAAAATATGTATAAATTATTAAATAGCACAATTTTTATGTTTTCAGCAACTTAATACTTTCAGAGAAGACTTTAATTTGGTGTAATGTTTAAATTAAAATTAGCTGTCGACCGCGACTCTGTTCGTGCGGGATTAAAAATAGATGTTGGCCGATTCTCATACATACTCAATATGCTCACAAAATTTCACGAGAATCGGTCAAGTCGTTTCGGAGGAATATGGGAACGAAAATTGTGACACGAGAATTTTATATATAAGATATAGAACAACATATCATCTTAGGATATCGTGTAATAATATTTTTATTGAGTTTTGGGTTGGCTCTTTTGTAGTAGAAATTTAGTCCGCATTATAATGTTGCTAAACTTACCGCAGGCACTGGGCAGTCAGTCACATTCATGCTGACGACCAGAGGATACCAAGGCGCTTCCTCGCTCTTTAAACTGTCACATACATCGGCCACTGACGCGAATGTGAACTCCTTACCCACGTCCATTAGCTTCCAAACTTCTATACTTATCTTAGAAAATGAATGCTTTATTATATTAATATTATTTGGTAGTTAATTTTTAATTACTTTACTCATACTAAATCTTAAGCCTTCCGTAAGGATTATGACAATTGTAATGAGACTTTACCCTTAAAGATCTAGTCGTATTTATTTCTTAGCAACTAATTCGTAGCTATTCTTTAGTTTTAATAATCTATAACAAACTTGACATGACCCGAGACCAAACGCAGAGCCCAAGATAGGGTGAACTGGCGGCACAGTGGGGACGCCCTATATCCCGCTACGGGGACATAGGACTTTATGTCATGACAAACTTCGCGTTCAATGTAATATGGAAAGCCATATAACGAGTTAGTATCTTTGCCTTACCTTATATCCCTTGTCAATGTTTTGTGATATTTCCATAACACCGCTAACGCCAATCCCACCTTCTGCATCATCATCGGCTTCCACCAGACCCAGTATGAAACTTTCACATTTTGTGTATTTATTATTAAAGTCTTTACAACTCTTAAAATCTTCCGAGAATTCAGCTTCATAAACAACCTAAAAAAAATGCTCAATCTTAAAAATTAGTATAATACAATATTTATTGGTAATATTTAAAGACCGATTTAAAAAAAAAAATCACAGAAAAATTTCTTCGTAAGAATACAGAGCACTCTCGACAAGCACTGATTTCAATTTATTATTGAATAATGTGACGTGGTCACCGTAATATTTACGTATACGCAAAGAGGTCGAAGTAAATTAAGAAAGAAAATGAAGCTATATTTTGATAGACATGTAAGCTTTGTCGACTATTGTTAATATAAATTTTTTTTAAATTTATTTGTGGTTGTAATTCCGAGATATAATAACGGCATCTGGGTTTTACCAAAACGATAACCTAAATGGATAAATAAAAATTCGTAGTGATAACACAATCTTATATTGACTTGTAACTGAACCTTAACCGTTCACTTTTAATTTATATTCTATTTAAATATTGTGTTTTTCCAATGATTACATATCAAATAACATTCCAACTTTAGACTTTATATACTGAGACTTAGCGACAAATAAATATAGAAAAAAAAATTATAGCTTAATTTTAATAAGTTGAATATTTAATCTTTATGCCACGTTACTTACTTCTCCATTAGCTTTTAAAACTGTCACTTCAAAATATATAAAAACTAAAATTAATACTTTCAAAGAAATGCACATCATTGTATTAGAAATAACTCGGTTTGAAAAATAAATACATTGTTATTTATCATTTTATAGATTTTATGTGGTACCTGATATAAATCTAAATTGCCTAGTTATAATAGCTTTTGTATTTAATAGTATTGTAAACATCTGGGATAAAAACATGCTATTAACAAGCGTTTGTCACGCAATCATATTCATAGCACATATCTGTAAGGTTATCAGTTGTGTTGACCAAGTCCACTGTCATGACTATCCTTAACTAAATTTTATATCAAATATCTAATCCTGAATATGCACAAGAAATAAAATTTATTTACGCTACCATTTCTCTGGCATCGTCACCCTGCGCGGCTAGACATGGTGCATTCCCTTCAAAGCGATTCCATAGCGAATTTTAAAAATAACTATCGATTAATTACCTGACTGTCACGTGTCAGTTCCATACAATTTTGTAGTTCGTTATGGAATCGTTTCGAAGCGAATAAACTTTTAGTAGCCCTGCATGGCTACGAATATATTAATGTTTGTCCAATAAATATTTTTTTTATATTATTTTTATTTTATTGTATAAATAGCCAGGAATTTACAAAAACTCAGCGCCACATCTTGATGTCAAGTGACGACCGCTACAGAACTGGAAAAAACCAGAATTGTCTGGTTTTTCGAAGACACGTATTGGCTAGATAGTATTTCACCAGCGAAATGATAAAAAAACGGTTTAATATTATAATTTTAAGATTTTTTGATAAATATATTATTGTTACGAGTAAATGTCACTTGACTGCATTCAGTAGACGTGTGTAGTGATAAACTATAACCTTTCCTTGTCAATAACAAAGTTTATAAGTCTTATGGAAAACCCAAGTCAAACTGATAATAATGTAAAATAAAAGGCAATAGTGACGTCACATTTCACACGTACGGAATAAAACTAGGGGTTGATGTAATCAATACAAGGGCAGTATATATTTTATATGAAACAAACAAATGGGGCAAAAACGAGAGTATATCATTTCCAATATAGTAGTTTTATGTAAATGACGCCTACTTTTAAACTGTCGTAATTTTTAGATTCCGATTGGAGTTTCCCCTGTTCGTATTTGTTATCTTCCATAGGAATAAATGAATGCATTAAATATTTTGATTTACAACGTGTTTTCGGTTAACTTTTTCTTCTTTTTTTATATGGTTCCTACACATTTTTATTTCAAAAGTTTTCTTGTATGTGCAAAACAATATAAATAAATGCCCTTCCCGTAATTTTTTAAATTCTATTTTAAAAATTTCTGTGTAAATTTTTGATTTATTTGTTTTGCATTATGAAAGAACAAAACTTGGAATTTTGGTTACTAGGCGTGCATAAATTTCAAAGGGTAAATGATTTAATTATGTGCATAGAAATGTCACAGCTCCATTTAATTTGATTGTCGGTGACACCTATGCAAATGATACGGTACGACTAATTGAATATCTTTGTTCCATGGAGAATTGGGGATATGAGATGACTTTTGGGTTACTTTCCGCATTTCATAATATCAATAGAATTTTCTAGACCCTTACATTTACGGATGAATATGTTACATCGAGCGTCGGTGGCTCAGTGGTCAAGCAACAACTTGACTTGCAATCTGCGGGTCCTGGGTTCAAATCCCGCCATGTACCAATGTGTTTTTCGATTTCCGATTAACATATGTACATTTATCCGACGTTCTGACGGTGAAGGAAAACATCGTGATGCAACCTGCACATATCTGAGAAGAAATTCAAAGATATGTGTGAAGTCAACCAACCCGCACTTGGCCAGCGTGGTTGACTATGGCCTAATCACCCTTAAATTAGGGTAGGCTCCGAGACCCTCGGTGGGGACTTATAGTGAGCTGATGATGATGATGATGTTTTTTTTTGTTCTATCAGTAACTAAGCTGACATGAAAAGGTTACACTGATAAATGAGACAGCAAATATTATTAATCTTTTTATTAAGACTATCTTCTTAACGTGTTATACGGAAGAAACTTTTGTTAATTCATGTATTGTACAGGAAATTGTTTCTTGTCATACGTAATCTTTTGTATGACGTAATTATTTTTTATTTAAACGTTGGTAGAGCGTATCGTTTCCTTTATCCAAGGCAAGTATTTCGCGACCGATGTGTAGACTCCGGGCCATCCATCCCGACCGCAGCCATATCCAAAGGAAACCACACCCACGGACTCCCAGACACCATTCGGTCTTCTTCTCATCAATGGTCCACCAGAATCACCACGACAGGCATCTTCAGCGAACGCGCCACCAGCACAGATTTGCTTCTCAGTTAATTCAGCGCCAACCTTCTTGTATTTCTCGAAACATTTAGATCTATTGAATATTGGCATACCGAGCTTTAGTTTTACTGGACTGCGAGTTCCTACAAATTAAATAAGGTATTTTATAAAATAAAACTCAAACATTTATTGATAACTCGCACATATAATGTTTAAACAATACGTCATAAAACATACCGAGCAAGGTTTTTCCCCAACCAGCAACATATACATCAGAACCTTCTGCCAAACGCAAGTTAGGGTCTACCAAACAAATAGGTTGCACGAAATCTGAAACAAAAGGGCAAAAGTTGAATTCATTTATCTTTTTAGATAAATAATCTAAAGAAATACAAGCATTCAAAATATACATACAAGTATATCTAGCGCGCTGTGCAAATCTCACGATGGCAATGTCATCTTCTCTGTTGATTTTTCCGTCAACAAAACCAGGGTGGGGGTGTGCCGACATGACAGGAAGTTCCTGGTAAGGTTCTGCGCATTCGTTGTCAATACAATCGACATCAGTTTGAATGTCATATTCACCTAAGCGAGCAGATTTCCTACAAAAAACCATAAATTTAGTTTCACAGTTAATTACAATGATATTTTGAGATATATTATTTTGTTTACTTAATACTTACAGTTTGCCTACAGCATTTTCTATTTCACCGATGACGCAGTGAGCAGCAGTCAAAGCGTACCGTTTGTTAATCAAAACTCCACCACATTGATAAGACATTTTTCCTTCCTCTAGAAATACAAGCATAAAGTATATTATAATATAATATGCATACATTTAAAATATGTAACCTCTTCTTAAACATGTACTTCGTCAACGTTACGGGAATCATATATCTTCTACTAATACTGATATGTTCTTAAGCATGTGCATGTTCATGTGTGTGTGTGTCTATAACTTCTATTATGACAGGAACTGCGGAGACTTTTCTATATCGCATCTATGTACTTTTTATGTATATATGTAGATTCTTATCTATATAAGTTTAACTGTGACTTAGGTGAGTGTCTATTTACCTGTTCGTTCTTTCTTTAAACTATGGTAGAAACACTAGGGATCTATTTAAAACTATCCCTATGTTATATGCGGAGGGATGATGACGATATAAGCAAAAAAGTAATGAGATTGAATGTGGATGGCTACAGGTAGAGTAAGACCAAAAAAAGTATGGATGGATTGTGTGAAAGGGGGTATGCGTAAGAAGTGTTGGATTAAGATATGACCGCTGATAGAGATATATGGAGAAGTAGTACATACTGTGTCGACCCTCTATAGAGATGAGGGCAGGTTAATGAACAACTAATGTCAAATTACTTGTTAAGTATCCCATAAGCACCATCCATGGGTATTCATCTAAGTCCGTGAATTGTCCACCGTATATTCTGTCCCCGTTCGTATCAATGCCACACTTGTCTTGAGGCGTGGGGAATGAGTCTTCCGGGTTCACTGGGTCTACGACTCCAGTAGCGATAGGTGCTCTCGTTGTCTTTGGAGGCAGCTGTTGGTAATACTTATTTTTAGATTTAAATAAATATGATTAGAAACCGAAATTACCTATCCCTAATTTAATAAAAAAAAACTCGATTGACTGAGGCTCTACTACATGAAATAGCGCCATCTATTGTCTACGTATTAAAATATAAATTCTAAACTAAAAAAAACTTTTTTAATAAATATTTTCTAATTTTAGAATACAATAAAACATTAAAAAAAGCAATAAAAAAGCTTTGCTACATTCGATATCCTTGATAAATCGCCACTTTTTAGACTAAAAATATTAGTACCGTAGTGGTAGGTCCCGTAGCGGGTAAGGGTCCACAACAAACTCTTGGCACATAGCCTTCGAAGCCGCACTGAGACTGTCTGAGAAAACTGACTACAGCATTCGGCAACGGCCGAGTCTCAAACGCACTGACGAGTTCCTTACAATCGTAGAGGGATACACATTTGCTCGTAGCACCGAGTGGCGTCTGGCAGGTTTCTGAAACTGTAAAAATACATACGTTTTACAAAAATCTAAAAATCTCTAAAATAAGTCACGGGATAAAGGAGTGCGATATTGTAAGACTACAATTAATGTTATATTACTAAATTATACTTTCAAGATCAAAATTCTAATCTTAATTTTTACTTGAATTGCATCGTTGCGAGAAGAGATTACTTGGAAACTATTAATAAGAGTAATGCGACAAAATTAACTATGATTTGTGGTAATAAATCCGTACATATCATTATCTTCTGTAAATTCATACTATTTTCCTTATACATTCAATATAATAGCAGTTTCCTAGAGAATGATATCAGAATCAACATATGTTGATGACATTAATTACAATACTAGTGATCGCCCGCGATTTTGTTAGCGCAAAATTTAATAAAAGTAATCTATAATATGCTCGCACACATCTGCTACCTTCCAATGAAAGTCCCGTCAAAATTGGTTAAGTCATCTCGGAGATAACCCGAAACAAAGGTTGCTCGCGGCCAGATAGACAAATAATAAATAGCTTAACGAAATATGTTTTTTTTTTAGATATGACACAAAGATATTGGTTTTATTAACTGTGTAGATAGATTTCTAGTATAATAACAATATGTATGATTTTGTTTAAAACTGGTTAGTTATTAACAAAATGTCTCGCTTCTTTTATGTTTAAACAATATCTTAAGTATGCACAAAGGAAGCGCTAAATAACAAACATATAGGGATCTCTGTTCTTTTCAAAGACAATGATAAGGATGGCGATATCTGGTACATTGGTTATTCATTGTCTTAAAATTTGATAAACCTTTTTTTTTTTTCAGAGGGGAATGATTTATGCATACTCCGCGCCCTGGGGGGGACGCGGTAGTTATGTGGGATTCTCCTCCATAGCGGAGGCATACCCACTAAACCCCTCTGTTCCTCCAACGCATCGGGACGGGACCACGGGCACGCTTTCGCTCTCGTCCGCGGCCCAAAATTTGATAAACCTAGAATATAAGCCAATTGCCAAGACTTAAATTGTCTAATGTGGTATACTCATCATATTCAAAAGAGCCTCAAGATGGTAGAGTTTAATCATAAATATTATATTGCATTCCGACACAATTCTAAAACAGTAAGTAACCCGTTTTTATCAAGGTTGTTTATGACAAACCAAATATAAGGAAAATTTTGTTTGGCGTATAAAACACACAAAAAAAAATTTGCCCGCGCGCTTGAATTTAAATAATGCAACTAAATGGCAACTTGTTTTTCGTCTCTGTAATGTAAATTTATGATGATGAAATAATATTAAACATCGACTATATCACGCACCAATATTAAACAGAACAATGGTGCTTTTTTCTAATTTTTAACCGACTTCAAAAAAAGAAGGTTCTCAATTTGTCAATATGTTTTTTTTGTAGACGATATAATAAAATTAAAAGTTATTTTCTAATTTAAACAAAGCCACTTTACTATGATATTTTGTTTGCTAAGGACGTTAGCAAGACGGTTGCTATTAACGAGTCGTTTCGATCATGAAACAGGAAAAAACAGCCACAATGACATGATCGTCTGACGTGTATAACGCAATCCTGTTTAATCTACATCATTTTGACTCTACAAAAAGTACTAAGCTAATATTATAACAAAAAAAAATATGCAAACATATTTTTTTTAATTAAAAGTTTGACGGATATTATACAGTTAAATTATAACAGAAAACTTGATCTTTGACCTTATGTGATATAATGTCATATTGAATGAAATAATTGAACAGACATTACCTACGTAACTCCACAGTAGGGACAAACACAACACGACTATTTGGCACTTCATGTTTATATTTACTGCACCAAATTTAAAGGTTCAATTCACTGACATCACTAAATTAATTATGTTATAAAAACTTTGGCATGTACAAGTTGAAACGACGCGCGATGCCACGCTCGTTCGCTAACTACACTGGTTCTTAGAGGTCAACTTCACTATATTTATATCAAGTCAAGATTCGCTTAAGTACCGTCAGCAAATATAATGATTAGAAAATATTATTAAAAATTAACAAACGACAAATTTTACCTTTAATAGATTTAATTTTTTTTTTCCTATACAATTAAATGGTTTAAGATACAAAGCAATAGGAAATTGTTTAATCATAACCTAATTTAATTATCTATTGATAGTTTAACAGTTTTTTAAAGCAACCAAAATACATAAAACTGAAGATAACAACCACCATAAAAAAGACACTATTTTTATAGTAGGTTTTGTAGAGTATATAGAAGACGTTCGATTAATTTATCTCTTCCTTTCCTAACAATTTCTTGTTACATCTTTATATATATAATTCTTCTGTGAGTGTGTATGACACTGAACTTCTCTCAAACGACTGGACCGATTTTGATGAAATTTTATGTGTGTGTTCAAGGGGATCTGGGAATGGTTGAGATTGACAATTTTCATCAAATATTAAGTTCATATTAATTTATTTAAATTAAAGACGTGTAGACAGGACAACGTTTGTCGGGTCCGCTAGTTATGTATATAACTAGATTATCCCATTTATGTAATATAAATATTTATTGAATCTAAAAGTATAAAGGTTATTTAACTCTAAACATAGTCACAATAAACTTTTCAAGGCCATTGGATTTCTGTGTTGGCATAAGGAAATGATATTGTATTAATCTTACTTCTCAATAATATATAAGCGAATTTTTTAGATGGATGGATGTTTTTTTGAAGGTATCTCTAAAACGGCTTAATATATTTCGCGAAAATTTGGCACAGATATAGAACATAATCTGGAAGTACACATAGACTACTAAGAAAGGATGATTATTGCATTTTGGCTACTTTTTGTTAAAATTGATTTTACATTTTTTTTCTTCATTTCTTGTATTATTTTGCTGTCGGTACTACATAGATATATACACTAATATGTGTGTATTTATTTCCATCTGGTTTGTTTGCATGCGTCATTTGTGGTTTTACCAGTTTCTGTGGGACACGTTGGTACAGAAATAATATTTACAAGCATTTTCCTTTTAACCATTAATTCAGATTTATATGTCTGGATAATATTGCTTTAAATTTTATAATGTCATATCATTTGTATGTTTAGTTGTGAAAAAAACGAAAACAGGACTTTAAGGAAAAAATTACGAATTTTTTTCTTCGCTTTTTAAGGGTTTTTATCCTGTAGTAAAATAAAAGAATAAATTAATTAATTAATTATATAATTGATCCCATTACAGTACTTTGAAATACATAACATTTGTATATAATAACATAATATAACTTTAAAATAATGTAATTTATTAGATGTAATTTAATAATAATTTACATATCTCTTGAATACATACATACGACATGTCTTTATTCAGTATATCTGTGTTATTTACTCTTCATACCGCTGTCACTAATCGACCCAGTGCCCAATCAAGCAATTCGTTCGCAAGTGGGGCGCAATTTCCTTCTGCAATTCAGTTAAGGATTAACAACATTAACTTTCATGTCTCGTCTGCTAATTGCGTTTGGCTCCCCAGTTCCTGTGACATTTTATTATATACTTGTTACTGAGCAAATCAGCAACTCATTGGGAATTGAAATACATTAGACACAATATGTAAATCAATCGGACTGTTTTATTTTAATTGAACTTCAAGAATGTATAAACATTCTTTGTACTTTTTTAAATTACTAGTATCATTCAGAGCGAATAGCGCCTGTCGTTACCAAGTCAAGTGTCAGATTGATTAGTGAGGGGACATAAACATATTTTAATAAGGCTAGTGTTGCCCCGATACACCGGCACAGTGTCGGATTCTCTTTCTAATAGTACTACTCACTAAATGAAGTCACCTATCCATATCCTCGCAATACTTAATTTGCTTGTTTAAATTAAACACTTTTGATACAAAGGTAATCGACGATAAGATAACGTTGACAGGAAGTAGACAGGAGGAAACGATCGCTCTCCGCCTTTTTGGAAACACTGCCTAATTCGAAAATAAGCACAGAAAAATTTGTTGGAAGACAATTATTGGGGCAGAATTGAACTCGGAATTTCAAAATGACTTAAGATGTACGTGAAAGGAAAAGGATTATTATGTTCATAAAAATTACATAACTTTTCGATATAAATTTGAATATTAAAAGGCAGAGTTACATCGATGGATTTACCATAATTAATTGGTCATTGGTCGAAATCGACCATAATAATAAAAAGAAATACGTGCATATTTGTTATAAGTAAAATACAAAAGGGATATAAATTTCAAGAAAATCGTATCCTAGTAAATGAAAGCACGTTTTCAATTGAATGCCCGGATGTAACTTAGCTGGACATTATATTCTGAAACCTTACGATAAATATTTCATACAATATTTTAAAAATCGTCGTAAAATATTTTTTTTTATTTGATATTTGCTCAAACATTCCGAAATAGAAAAGAATAAGTTTCGAACTATTTTCAATGATTTAATAATCTTTCTAATCACAAAAATAATCTCCATGAAGCTTAAATAAAACTACAAACTTAGGTTATATCTTAGGTTATAGACAGCATCAGTGGTCATATACAAGAGTCGCACGATTCGCGATTCAACAATTACTTTGATAATACACCCCCATAAAGACGAGTTCACGCAGGGACGCAGTGATAAATTGGCGATAGCCACTGGAGAGGTTGTGGATTCTCCGACTGTCTCAAAAGCTTACTTAAATAATTCCAACGAGAAGAAAGTCTTGTAGTAAGGTTTCTTAACAAGACGTGGCGCTCGTCGGACGGCAACCTTATATTGACTCATTACATATTTATGTGAACATCAAAGGAGCATCGTTAGGTAAATTTATGTCCATCTATGCTTCTCTAAATTTAAACTCACAAGTAAAGCTTTTACAAACGAGCTAGATACATTCATTGTACAACTAACAATGTACATAAGTTTATTTTTTAATATTTATGAAAACTAAAAAAAAATAGTCGAATGATATTCGGTATCGAAAAAAACATAACTACTAGTTTCTTCTAATATTTCAAGCTGAATAGCCACGTAGTAGATAAAAATTCGTCTATCTTAAATGGTATTTCCAACTTTAAAAAACCCTAGAGGTTTAATACTTCTATGTATGTACATGTTTATTGTAAAATTTACTTGATATATGTATATTAATATTAATGTTATAATATTAATGAATAACCCAAACAGTTCTTGAGAATTAATTGGGGATATTATAAACTTTTTCCTGTACCTTGTCACTTTAACCAAATTTATCTTTGTTAAAGTTCATCATCATCAGCTCACTATACGTCTGGTGGCTCAAGGGTTAAGCGCTTGACTTGTTATCTGCACGTCCTGGATTCGAATACCACCATGTAACAATGGGTTTTTTGATTTTCGATTTACATATGTATATCCGATGTTCTTACGGTGAAGAAAAACATCGTGATGCTACCTGCCCATATCTGAGAAGAAATTCAAAGATATGTGTGAAGTCAACCAATCCGCACTGGGCCAGCGTGGTTGACCAAGTCACCCCTAACTTAGGGTAGGCTAGGAGCCCTTCAGTGGGGACGTATAGTGAACTGATGGTGATGAAATTAGATTTAATAGTATCATAGCTCTGATCACTTTTAAATAACACAAGTAATATTAGCAAGTTAGTTCTTAGCATTTTTCAATAAGGCGTTGGAATTTATGAAATAAAAATGCGCGATAATATGGAAATATTGTGAGATTCTGTTCGTACCTCGCGCTTGGTAACGACCGCTGTCAGACCAGTTATCGATGGCCTCTAAATATTATTTATAGCCCTCTCTCGTATGGCTAATATTCTTTTTCTTGACGATTCTGCTATTTGCACAAATGCCACCGTCTAAGCTTAACTTGTTATGATTTATAGAGGTCTAATGCCTTTTGAAACAATTTACGCTTAAGTGTTTGCCAAACAAATAAAACAAAAGGTAGACGCGTAAAACATTCCAAAATCTAATATATGCGTGTACATAAAACAAGTGATTATTGTCTGCCTGATTAACTTTAGGTTTCTGAGACCAAAATCTCGGTATAAAACATGTCGTCAACCGCGTTATCTTTAACAAAACGGAGATAACAATATGTTTTAAACGGGAATTTTGGTCTCAGAAACCCACGTTAAGTAAAAATATATTTTTGGAAATGGGAATGGTGAGGTCATAGTGATCGATTAACTCTTGATAGTTACTGCTATTCGATATATATATTTAAAATACACGATAATTTCTATATTTCTTTGCATGAATTCAGGACTGTAGTTTTCTATTTGTTTAAAGAAAAGTGTGCGATTCAGTTGTTAATGTTATGCAATATTTCATGCAGTACATTCAGTATTTCAACAATTTTACTACAAACATTGTTCTTAACTTTCTATCGATTTAAGATTTTATAAGGTTTACGGTATCAAGGAAGAGAATTTTGCTGTATACAATGTTAAACCCCGACAATGTTTATAATATGAAACAATGAAAAGAAAACCAAATACAGTCGGCTCGTAAATCTTATACAATCGTGCTATGGAAAAGACCTTTCAGCTATGGTCACAAGGTTTAGGTCAAATGCCTAATTGATAATAAAATGTCAATATGAATCAAAAATGATTAACAACGACTACGATAATTTTTACTACATTTACAGAGTATGGAGGTTCGATTATTGATACGATTAATTAATTTATTTTTATTTATAAAAGAGTCAGAATAGAGTTCGATGTTACATATTGACCAAAGGTGAAATTACTATGTATACGTTCAAACTAAAAGCTTTTTTCAGACTGAAGGTATATTGATACAAACGACGCACGTCGGCGCATCGAACACTGGACATAAATCAAGCGTAATCGAGTCCCAGAATGAGATACGCTTCTACTTCGCACAGATTATAAAAGTATAATACAAAATTACTTTTTTTATATCCACTAAAGGCAATGGTGTA